CCACCAGGACCCCCAGGTCCCTTTCCCCTAGTTAGTATGGATGCAGGCAAAGTGATTGAGTGTAAAGTCTGATCCTGAATTCTTCAAGCATTTTTTTTCCAGGCAGTTTTGAGGATTTGCAGAGTAGATAAAGCCTTTATTTTATGTATATATTTTCTCTGTGTTTGCACTGTATGCTTCGTGTTAACTGAAGAACAGCAAAATTAACTCAGTTTATAGAGAGTTTATAGCCTTTGCAGTATTCTTCCTGCCTTTCCTAGACTTGGTAGAGAATTTTATGCTTGTGAATGGGAACTAGGCTTTAGGCACCATTCATGTTATCCTTTGGTCTAATAGTGCAATGAAGGAAAATTCAGAATGCTAAAGATAAGCAATGTGGGGAGAGGGTGTTGGGGTGGCCAGAGTAAAGACAACTTTAGCTTATTTTGTGTCACTTCTAGGGGAGCTTTATGTTTCATAAACTCAGACCTGTCGATCAGCTGCGACATCTGCTTGTTAGCAATATAGGTGGAGATGGAGAAGAGATTGAAAGGTTTTTCAAATTGCATCAGGTAAGAACTTCTGACCTATTATGAATAATGAAATACTTATAATATTTATGTAAATCTAATTACGTTCTTTAGCATCTTTTATTGTTGCTATGAATTTCTAGTTAATTTAATTGATAAATAAAATGTTATTAGCTTTTTCTCTTGTATTGTCTACATAAAACAAGATTGTATAATGAGAAGTAACTTGTAGTTCTATGATACCTAAAATGAAAGTGTAAGCCACTTTCCCTGAAATTCTTGTAATCTTGTATGCAGAAGTATAATGCAGTTCTTAGTTTAGGAAAGGAGTTCATCTATGAGCATGGAAGGAAGAGTTTCTAAAAAGGTTTGATTCCTACCACTACAAGAGTTTTTTACATTTTGAAGGCCAGTGGAAATGTATATAATTGGTCTATTTGTTTGCTTAAGGTAAATAACAGACAAGCAGGAAGGCAGCTATTGTGGATTACAGTTTTAATTTGACTAGTACTGATTAGTATCTGTACTGACTATTCACTGTTATCTGTTCTCTTGTGCTTCAATAGGCCATACTAAGTGATATTTTAACATGCTATTACAATATGCAAACCATTATTTGTGTAGGGTTTTTTTCTTCAAACACAATCTTAATTTGCATTTCTGTAGAAAGTGCATGAATCTTAGTCATAATTAACTTACAGACATGGAGACTGTTTCCTAGCAGTAATCATACTGAGTTTGCAAAAACTGTGTATAACAAAAGCTTACCTGATACAGTAGGATGCCTCACTATGATTCGCTTCCTGTCTAATTGGGAAGAGCTGATTTCCTTGCTTTCTAAATAAAATGATGCAAAAAGTATTTACTGTTTAGTAGTTGAGCAGTAAAACTTCTATATGTTGCTTATCGACTTGATACAAGCTGCCACACTGATAGTATAATGTGCTCTAGGAGGATCAGGCCTGTGCCACTTGCCTTATCTTGGCCTGTTCCAATGCTGCATGTGATAGAGAAGTATCTGCATGGGCTACTCGAGCATTCTTCAGGTAAGTTTCAATTCTGTAGGTTGTTCTGAATATTATGATCAGGATCACTACAGCCACTAAAAAATTGTACAGGCTTTTTAACCTGCTACCTGAGTGAGCATTGTTTTAAAACAAGTGTAAACGGTTAAACTTGGTGGAATATGCTTTTGCACTAATTTAGAGATCATCAACAAAGGAAGCTTCTCATTAGTAAAGATTTCTGGTTAGTTCACTTCTTCAAACCTTGTTTTCCACACATAGAGGAGGCTACTGAAAATGTAGTTTAATCCGCTTAAAGCACACTTATACTTCACAGTATCACAGTTCATTGAAATGCAGTGTGTAGTAGTATCTTTAATGAGAAAAACTCAGACAGCTGGAAAAAGACCAGACAATTTTTTAAATTTTTGTGGAGTTTTTGTGATTGGTTTGGAATTTTTTTCTTATTGCAGCTATTTATGCTGTTCACCATTGTGCCAAGGAAATTTATATTCAAACGGACTTACCCTGTTCAGGGCCTGATGGCTCTGGGTCACAGATACTGATTTGTTTGTGTTTTTTTTTGTTCACTGGTTTGATTTGTTTTTTGCCACTACAAATTGAGTGAGGAAGGTATGGACTTCCAGTCTGGAGGATTAATTTGTCATCTACGTATCTTGAGTGCTACGTATCCTTGGTGTGGTGCAGACTTGTATAATTTAATTAGCTGCCTTAAACAATTTGTTGTATTGTGGGTCTATTGACTGTTCTCACAGGTCATGTAGTCTGGAGGAAGAAAGGGTTTTGGTAAGATACAGCTGTTGAGAGGGACAATAAATCGTACTGCTTTAACTGTATGCTTGCACTAGAATTTGGATGTTATGCTGCCAAAAGTTTGCTTGTGCTTTTCCAAAACTTGTACAGGTGTTAGATAAAGTCAGCTGTTCTCAGTAGGCTGTGAGTAGTTGCTCACATTAAATGTTAAACTCACATTACAAGATCTAAGCGAAAATGTAGGGAACAACTCTGGAGAAATGGGTGTTAGCAAGGTGTAACAAAGTCCTCATGTAGCACTACAGGAGAGAGATGGATCAAAATTGCTTGTGTAAATTTTTCTTTAAAGCCTGATCATATCATATCACCACAGAACTTAAAACATCCACAAAAAAATATTTAGTTGTTCATTTATGTTTGCAACTGGATATGTTAATGCTTTCCATACAACATGTATTCAGTTTTCTTCTGCCAAAAGTATCATAAAGTCATAAACACTTCTGAAAAGTTAGGTTGATTTTTTTATTCCTCATTTTTAAAAAAACTCAAAATTGCTGTTAATTCCTAAAGACATGAAAACTAAATGGACTGTGTATGAAGTGTGAGAAATTTTTGTCTTTCCATGTAAACTTCAGGTATGGTGGAGAAGCACAAATGAGATTTCCATCGGCTCTGCCTCCTCCAAGCAATGTTGAACCCATTTTGGGTTCTCCTGTTCCTGCCAGTAAGTAGCAGCATTTCATGGTTTTGAACAGGTGGAGTTTTTTCTTTAATTATGTTGGATTTTGACTTCTTGCAAGTACTTGTGTTCTTTTTTTCTGTGACAGTCCTTGATTTTCCACTCACTGGGTAATTAATTACAGTTTATTCTTGAGTGATTTTTTTTTTTAATTTAGTGAGAAGGTGATGTGTCCTCAAACGATGTCTGGATGTTGCATACTATCTTTATGCACTTGTAGCTGCCAGAGGCACTTCAGCAGCCAGAGAACAATTTATCAATACTAAAGCTCAAACATTACAAAGATTACTTGGTGGCTATAGCAGATTATCTTACAGTGTCATTGTCATACCTCTGCAGATACTGCTTATGAGAAGAAAATAAAAATTTTGATCAAGAAATGGATTAGTCCTTTGAGGTGATTTCTACCTGTGAAAGCTCTATCTTCAACATTTGGTTTCTGCCTAGGTTGTCGGTGCCACCTACAAATGAGAATAGTGCCTATTCTTCTCAGAACCTGGGGCTTGTTGAAGTGGAGGCCTTTCTGTGCTTCTCAGAGTCACTTAAATATCTACAGTTGCTTCAGGAAATTGTCCCTTAATGTGTGTTACTCAATTTCAGATCTTCAGAGTTTTTAAAAAAGAAATTCATAATGATGAATTTGGAACTCCGAATTACTGATTTTTAATTTTTTTTTTAATCAGGAACTCATTAATTTCCAAGATTCTTTACCCTTATCTGACATGTGGCATAAAATTTTATACAGCAGACTTGGGGAAAAAATGTGGTTGACTGGAATGCAAAGAAATTAAATCTGAGTTAGAGAGCACAGCAGCTATGGGGAGAACACATGCTAGGAGCAGACTGAGAATGAAAGTAAGGTGGAGGGGAATGACAGGACACTCTAATTGATGACTCCTTTTAGAAATAAATTTATTTTTCCCAAATCTAAATGTTTAGGTATTTTTATCATTTGCTGTCATATATGCCTCTTTGAAACCTGATATCAAAGCACATGTTTCCATTTTGCTTCAGTGACAGGTCAGGGTGGGAGATGGCACCATTCTTCTGCTACTGTTTCCTCCATTTGCTCAAAGGGTAGAGAACTGTCATGTGAAATTAAGATTCTGATACTGTGGATGTCCCATGTGGTGGGTCAGACAGTACTGAAAGAAATTTATTATAACACCTTGAAATTTTGCATGTGAAACGACATTACAGTAATGTCAGCAGTAAAGGGACAGGCATCTTTAACTTAGTTCTGTCTTTCTCACTGTTGAAACTTTCTAGTCATGCATTCACATTCTGCTTTTCTGCAAGTTTGTGCTTTGCTTGGCAGGCAGGAGAATGTGCTTGGAGAATGCATTAGCACTGTTTATTAGCACTGTTTTTTTCACTGTTGCGAAGTTGAGAGAACTGTAGTGAATAAGGCAAGAAGGACTGATTCTTTGATAAAAGCTAAATTTTCAGAGTGCAAACTTTCTTACCCGTTCTGTGATACAACATCCTACGTGGTGAAGGTACATGGACGTTTTTGTAGATGGTCACGTGTTCGTCATATTTTGGGGTCTTAAGTTAGGTATTCAGTCTTTATTTGCAGTTGAATCTGATGCTGTGGATGGTCTCAAACTGAATGTTCCAAGTTAACACCGTTGCCATAGTGTTTGTCTAGCTGCTCTATGTAAAAATAAAGAGTAATAATACCAGTTCCTTTCAGATGAGTGCCTTAAAGGTACAACTGATATTTTTTGAAAATATCTAAATGACTGAAAGTGAGCACTTTGATAATTGGTAGTCACATTGGGCATGGGAGTAGCCAGAAGGTGAAGAACAAGAAAAAAGTATGTGGACAGTATTACATTCAATGCAGGGAACAGGTGGTGTGTGATAAATAACATGAATGTTGAAAAAAAATGCTTAATAACTGCTCTTGAAAGCAATGTATCCGTTTGTTTAAATTATGGAGTGTTGGGTTGATAAAGAAATGAGTGCAATTTGGTATTTAACTGCATAAAACCTGTTGGGATGGTTCTAACTTTAAAGTCCTTGATTTAACAACTTTGCTGCTTTTGTACAGGGATTTTATGGGTTGTATTTTGGGTTGGTTTTTTATTTTTGTTTTTAACAAACTTACATTTATTTCTTTTCCCTTTTAGGTTCCGCCTTGACTGCTGATAGTCCATACCCTAGTCTTAGCTTTTTGACAAGTGGGCATGGTAACACCTTCTTTTCCTTTGCTGGAGAAATTGAAAATTTTTTTTTCAACTAGGCTTTTTTATTTGCATGCAGATGAGTAATATTTACCTACTTTTACCCTAGGTTTACAACCTCCTAGTATTTCAAGTCCCATGTTTCCTTCTGGGAATTCCATGTCTCACCCTGGTACATCCATTAGTGGAATGATGGGTCCTGAGATAGTATTTTCTGGAAGACACAATGGCATCTGCATATACTTTGCTCGGATTATAGGGTAAGATATTTGTGTAAAAAGAGGTTCTGTAACTCCATTTGTTTCATAGTTTTTCCTTCCCCTAATGCTTGTAGGTGGTGAATTCTATCGTAATCACATTTTAATTTGATTAGTAAAGTGGATTTTTATGTTGTGCTTATGAAGTACTAGTTAATATATGTTCTCTTTACAGCTCTGTTAATAACGATGCTTTCAGTGAATGGTTAGGATAGGAAAGTTGTGTAGACATGGATCCTGCAATCAAGTGTATAATATACAGCTCTGAAAACTGGTTTTATTTTTCAAACCTATGAACTGTATGTTTCAAACTCCTACTAAGGGATGAAACAGAAACGCAGAAGGACTTGCAGGATGAAAGTCCTGACTTGAAGTCTTTTCTGTTAAGAAGCTTTAAACAGAATGCTCAAATCAGAGCAGTGCTGCAAGAGTAAAGAGGATTGTATTACTTAGATGTTGAGTCCTGTGTTACTAAACACCCCAAGCAAGAACAGAACTCTTCATATGTTGGTCATCTCTCTGCGTACTGGTTGGGAAAGAAATTTTTTTTACAACCCTTGTTTCCCT